TGTATCCCTGGTGCACAAAAGGACTTTGCAAACATATGCCCCATGGAGGGATAACTGCCTTATTCTAGAGATAGGAGAGAAACCCTAGTCTCTACTTCACAGGACTTGTCAGATCTACATGATCCCAACTGGATGGCATTCCCCTACAAATGGTATTGTGGTGGGGGGTTGGGAGGGGAGGGTGTTTAGAGTGCATGTGAGAGGGCAGAGAGGGTAAAAGGGAGGGAAGGAGGGAGGGAGGAATGGGGGGAGGGAGGGAGGGAGAGAGGGAGGGAGAGGGAACTGGGATCGACGTGTAAAATAATAAATTTAAAAAAAAAAAAAAAGAAAAAAACGCTTTGACTCCAAAATTTAAGTTGAAGAACAAGTTACTGGGGAAAAGGATTTCTATTTTTGTTTCCACAGAAAATGAAAAGATGTGGACTCCTTCCAGACTAATGTGGTTTGATCACGCCAGACCGCCTAAAACAGAGTACAAGCTGATCCTACATTCCAAACAGCTGGACAAAACAGCCCTACAGACTACAGCCAGGATATCTGAATCTTCATCGAATCCCCCAAGACAGCGCCCCTTACCAGCAGGAAGTAGTTTGGAAAGAACGACGCCCAAATTCCCAAATATTGTGTATAAATGTTTGTTTTCATTTAATTGGACTTTGTTATATAAAATTAAAGAAAAAAAAAAGAAAAAGAAAAAAAAAGAACAAAGGCCATGTCAGGCCTCAAAGCACTATGCAAAAAATAAATAAATAAATAAATAAAAGTACAAAAAATAGAATGTACGGTATTATATTATCTTTATATTGTTTGACTGCTGAGGAAATAACAACTGTTAAAAGAAATGCTGCTGGATTAATTCAATTTATATATTTTAAAAATGCTTTGACTTCAAAATTTAAGTCTAAGGAAGGACAGGTTACTGGGAAAAAGGATTTCTATTTTTGTTTCCACAGAAAATAAAAAGCTGTGGATTCCTTCCAGACTAACATGGTTTGAGCCAGCAAGACCCCCTGAAGCAGCGTCCCAGGTGAGATTCAACATTCAAAATAGCTGGGACATGTCAACCTTACAGACCACTACAGCCAGGATTTCTGCATCTTCTTAGGATCCCCATGACAGAGCCCCCTACCAACAGGAAGCAGTTTGGAAAGAACTATGCCCAAATTCCTAAATATTGTTTATTAATGTTTGTTTTCATTTAAATGGGGTTGGTTATAAATGGTTAATGACCACAACCAACCTTTTTAAAGGTAAAAAGGGAATTATGGTATAGAAATGTATACTTTGCTTTGGAATGGATTTTCATTTATTGATACAAATTTAAGGTCAACTTTGTGATATGTATATTTTTCCTCTTGTTTAGGAATTGTGTTTATGTAGCTCATTTAAAAATGTAATGTATAATTTAGTACAGATTTTAGATAGTTATCTACAATGGTCAAAACTTTAGTTAGGTTCTACCTATTATAAAGTCAAAACTTAGTTAATTTAGTTAGAATTTCTAGATATATAGAGATGTATTTGAGATGAATAGGCATTCTTCAAACCTTTCAAAGACCTACAGAATATGGCATTTAAAATGGTTTAGAGTTTTTCTTAACAGTGAGGCACAACTGCTCCTGGCAACACCACCTGAATCAGAAAAAAAGATGGACATTAAAGAATCACATATTAAGTGGGGACTCTGTCACTGTGGGAAGCTGTGTTTGCGGGGTGTGTGGATTGAGAAAAGCTAGCTAAAGACATTAAAGGAAAAGATGGAAATAACAGGATAGATGTCAGGAGAGAGGGCAATTCAGTCCATACTGAACACCCTTAATTTATTCTTTAACATTCTTAAGTACCCAAGCAAAAGTAGGGCAGAGACTTCTATTGTCATGTATAAGGGACAAACAGATTTACTTCCCTTAATCCTCCAAATATTCGGTACCCACACCTGCCATCCAGCCTTCAAGGTCAAGAGTAAACAGACTTGAGCCCAAGTCCATTGTTATTTAGATAAAGACATCTGCTACCAAAGCTGAAACATCCTGCAGCAGCCAAACTTAGTCTTGTAAGTGTAAAGACAGTTTTGAACTCTCTGAATGTGAGGCAAGATGAAATGGACCCCTCTTTATGGTCCCTGACGTCAAGTCCTTGAGTCTTGGTCAGGGATGTTTACAGAGACCTTTGCTCTTGTAGGCATGTCTAACTCAGGGTCTGTGTGTCACAAGAGCCCAGGACATGTCTAACCCAGGGTTTTTGAGTCACAAGAGTCAGGAACATATCTAACCCAGGGTCTGAGGGTCTGTGGGTCACAACAGCCCGGAACAGCTGTGAATTATTCGGCCAAAACCATAAACTGACTTAAAACATTAGTAGAGTTTTTGTCATATTTTAAGTCCATTTAGCTGTTACGTAGCATGAACTTTATAAATGATGTTGGCATATGACTAATATCAACGTGATTAGAAATGTTCACAAGAAGTTAAACCGATCTCCCAATGGTTAGTTCTATGAAACTTTTTTTTTATTTTTGAGAAACATGCACATAAAAACTTCCAGTCCATTGGACAGTATAGGAAAGGAGAAAGGAGGGTCACGGGGTCCCAGAGGAATAAAACCCACCATTCTATGCCACTGATCTTTCATTAATGTCATTCATGTTACCATGGAGGCATTTGGCAGAGTGTCATCTTCCCACTAGATACTTCTCATTTTCTTTCATAATTTGGCACACACTTTTCATCTATCTAACTAATGGCTATATCTAAAGAATTTGGTTAGCTTTTCTTGGCTTTTTTACACCTATGTGTCCTCAGATTTTTTTTCACCAGCTTTCTTGTTCAAGCCCTATCTAAAACTCAGAACCCTGTTGTGGTTCTTTAATGACATTTTAAAACTTGTTCAGATATCTCCATTTTTTATGGGACAGGGTCATGACTAGATATGATGAATATGAATTCTAGGTGAGACTTCTAGGAAACAACCCAGAAATCGACATTACCCAGATCACCAGAGTCATCACTGACACTGCTGTGCTGAACTTCAAGAGGGCTTAAAGAGCTCTTGATGCTGTACATAGAGCTTTGACACTGTGCAACAACTAAACTGACCTCCAGGCCAGCAAGCAGAGCTGCCAGTCGGTTAGCAGCATTTTGAGCCAATCAAACCGCTATAAATCCACCATCATTAGAAACAGTAAAATGGAGGGGGAAATGGATAAGACGGTTTATATAATTTTAGTCAGAAAAAAATCAGGAACATGAATTGATGGGGGTGGGGATTAAAGCAGTAAAAAATATCAAATTTATTCATTTGGCTTGATAGTACTAAACAAAGTCGCTAGTTGGAGCAATTATGTGTTCTTACTGCCACTGTGTGGCCAAATGGAAGAACTACATATTCCTTCTAATTTCAGCCACCCTTTGAAAATGTATTTGGCATAATCAGGCCTTGTTTTAAATTCCTCAAAATTACATAAAGACTTACATCTGTACACAATTTTAACAGGCTTCCTAAAGAAGGAGTAACCAGGACCATGGTGGGATGGCTCAGTACAGAAGTGGACAGTCTGTGGAAAAGTTAGAAAATCCTCTGGTTTGTCTGCGCAAGGCTTGCTTTGTGATCTTATTGTCAGGACTTCAGCAAAGTGTGAAAGCAAGCCTTAATAAGTACTGTGTAATGGAACCTTGAATGTTGTAGAACATTATTTTAAGGTGTGTTATTTTTGTTTGTGCGCTGGAACATTTGTTTAATGATGCAAAGATATGTTTGATTAAATAAAATTCCCCTGCAGTCAGGAGGCTGGTTAAGCAACTAGCTGTCAGGAAGTAGTAGAAAGGAGCCAGGTGGAGAAAGTTTATAAGGAGGGGTGAGAACCAGCTAGATGCTGCTCTCTACTCAGCCTCTCTGGGAAGTAGAATTCTACCTCAACCTTTGAGTCTTGAGTTTTTTAGTGGGACAGAGACTTAAATATGTTTTCTTAGTATCTTTGAAAGAGTTGGTGCCTGAGGGAATGGAAGAGGCAGTTTCTGAGTAGGATAGCTGTAGCCTAAAAGGAAACAACAATTAAAAAAGAAAAACTCGGACCCCCCGAATATGGGTCTCAGCCAGAAGGTCTGAGCAGTCTAAGAGACCTCAGACAGTGGAGCCAGGATGTGTCCCTGGTTCACAGAAGGACTTTGCAAACATATCCCCCATGGAGGGATAACTGCCTTATTCTAGAGATAGGAGAGAAGCCCTAGTCCCTACTTCACAGGACCTGTCAGATCTACATGACCCCAACTGGATGGCATTCCCCTACATATGGTATTGTGGTGGGGGGTTGGGAGGGGAGGGTGTTTAGAGTGCATGTGAGAGGGCAGAGAGGGTAAAAGGGAGGGAAGGAGGGAGGGAGGGCTGGAGGGGAGGGAGGGAGAGGGAACTGGGATCAACATGTAAAATAATAAATTAAAAAAAAAAAAACACTTTGACTCCAAAATTTAAGTTGAAGAATAAGTTCAAAAAAAAAAAAAAAAGAAAGAAAAAGAAAAAGAAAAAAAAAAAAGAAAAACTACAGGGCATCACCTAGGTAAGCCGCAGCCATGTGGAGATACACAGATTAATAGTAATGGGTTAATAATTAAGAGAGAGCTAGCCAGTAAGAAGCCTAAGCCGTCGGCCAAACAATTATAAATGTGTATTGAGTCTCTGACTGGTTATTTCATTAAGAAGCTGTGAGACCGGGTAGGTGGAGAGAAAACAGGTTCAGTGGGGCTGAGAGAGATGGAGAAAATTTCTTTCTGCTCTTGAATATTATCACTGCTATCCTGTGTCCACAGTTTCTGCAAGTAGATTGAAGACAATGGGTGGCAGCCCTAACTGCTGGGATGAGAAATGGCTGAGGAATTTGTAACACACTTTTTAGTGACTCCCAGGCAGGGAGGCAAAGGGACTGGTGATTCGGCAAATTGATTCCCTGCGACACTCATAGGGCTTTATCTCTCTCATGTTATGGAAGGAGGGGCACTTCCACATACCTTTATTCTTTTGTTCCTGAAGACGGTTTGCAGCATGCATGTAGCTCAACTTCCGGAAAATACAAATGGTCTTTGTCACTGCAGACACTGGGCCTGCACTCTGAATCAGTTGGTCAGCTAACTCTGTCCTGTTTGTAGCTTTGTCCAGTTTGCTCCTTGAGATCTTAAATTCATCCAGGACAAAGAACTTGAACCGTTGCAGTTCCTCCTCGTTGATTTCATCCAGGCCGGTCAACAACAGTATCTCTTTATACTCACGCTCCATCTCACAGCCTCGAGATCAGCCTGCAATAAAACCTCAACTATAAAGATTACAGCGTTGTATGCAAGTCTTTATTCAGGATTTTCAAGGCGAGTGCTCAACAGAAAATATCCAAGATGGCCACTGTGCAGCAAGACTGAACTGGTGAAATGTGAAAAACAAATCCCTAGGCAAGAAGGTCACTAGTGTTGGGAAAGGACACCTTCAAAGAACATGTGATGCCTCAGGAACTCTTAGAAGGTGGTTCTGCATTCCTGTTCCTATCCCCTCTAGGGAAGATTTATAGAGACAAATGACATGTGACACACTGTGTATATTTCAGACATACAATGTGAAAATTTGACACACATATACATGAAATACAACTTGCCAGTTTATTCCCTAATGAACCACATTTTGGTGTTCCATCTTTTCAAAATTCAAGATCAAATTTTTTTCTCCTGTATTCTTCTCTAGATATTTTAAATGTCATCTATTAACCTTTATATCTATGAACTATTTTGGATTCTTTTGTACATGGTATGAAATGTTGTGAAGATCCTATTGTTCACATGGTATGAATTTTCCCATAATCTTATCAAAAAGACTATGTCTTCTTCATTTGCTTCTGCCAAAAATTGCTTTCCAATATATGAGTTGGCCTATTTAAGGAATCTTGCCCCTGTTCATTAGTTTATCTTGCTATTGATTTAGGATGCATGTGATATTTTGAATGGAAACATTCAGTAAAATGAAGATATCAACCCTGTTAATTCATAACCTAACTACATGTAAAACTTTAAAGAGAACTTCTAAGGATGAATCTAAAATCTGCATAACAATGTAAGGACAACAATATGAAAAGTAAGTTAAAATAGTCACCAAGAAACACTGCTTACTACCTATAAATACTGTTATAAAGATGCAAAAATTAAGAAAATCAGATCATAAGTAGATGTAAGTCAGCGTAAAATCAGAATCACTTATAATACAAAAAGACTTCATATGTTCTTGAATGTCCATAATTAACAAATGCCTTGTTTTCAGATTACATGGAACCACATCTGTAAGAAAATTTTCGACAATCTAGGTGAAAAGTGGTCAAAAGATATGAATAAGCAGTGTGCTTCCATAGCTGATGAAGATGTGTAAGAAATATGTTTGACATTACTAATGGTTAGTTACTTGGGTGAGAACCAGGTAAAGGGAAACAACTAGCCAAAGACCTTGAGGGTCCCAACCAGTGCAGCCAATGTCACTGAGTTACAAAGAGTACAATTAATGTGGCCTTATTATTGTTCCTGGCAAAGAGTGGGCAGATGAGGAAGGGGTGGAATGGCTCTGCTTATGTGGGTGTTGTTCATATGCAATGCCCAAAACTACCATCAGCATCCTTACCAACATAAGAAATACACCCAAAATAGCCACAGCGATAACTCTGTACCAATGTGTACCAGTCTTTTTGACAGAATCGAGGAAGGAAACCTCCTTTGCCTTAGTATGTGTGGCCTGCTAATCCTGTCAGCATGCTTCCTGCTGGTGTGTGTGAAACCTTCATCTTCCCATACCCCTCTTCAATAGAAACACACTTGCATTTAATCACATTTGATATGAAGAATTAAGACACCGATTTCTCTGAAGGCTATTTACCTTATTTGCATACAGTATGCATTACGTGATAAGTCTACTTGAAAAGTTTTAAAGTATTTGTTGGATGAAACTGAGTAGTAGAACATGTGATTACTATGCAGGAAGCTCTGGGTTCAATGGCAAGCACCATATTAAAAAAAAAAAACAAACAAAAAAAAACAAGTGAGGTGGCTTTAGAAGGTGGGTTATAAGCGAAGGAAATGCATGCAAGTCTGATAGGTAGCCTCATGGTCAGCAGTAGGTGCAGTTGTAATTTGACAGTGCTATGCCATGCACAGGGAGCCTAGAAGATGGAAAGGGGAAAAGAGGCATATAGGCACGACTGACTTACCTGTAAATCAGGAGGATTCTTGCCGCCACATGGAGGTGGCCAGTATGGCACACCTGAAAGGCATCAGCTATGCAGCATTTGTAGGTTAAATTTGGTAATCAAAGTGGAATGACTTACCTGATGCTACACAGCTTATATAGGATGAATAGATGGCCCAACCTCAAGTCTTCTAAATCCAATTCTTTTCTCTTTCTTTTGCTAACTGCCTTCTTGTTATTTGAAGAATGTGAAATAACACCTTTAAATTTAAAAAGATTATATATATATATGTATGTATGTATGTATGTATGTATGTATATATGATTCAAAGGCACCCATTCCTTAATACCTATATCTAACTCACTGGAAATTTTAATAATAATATTATAATTGCCATGTTTTTTTCCTTGCCAAAACCACTTATCTGTCTTCACAGGGTGTCTGCATAGCTGAAATCCAGCCTCTGTAGATTTCTGCTTAACCCTCCCTGGGTACATTTTATGAAACAGGACCTAGCCCTGTTCCTCTCTGTTACCACATACTGTTTTCGTTTCTTCTCTACTTGTCTACTTAGCAATCTAGTATTTTTTGTTTGTGTGTGTTTTAGTTCACATTCTGTGCTGAAATGAAAGTGGCTCATGGGCAAGGACTCTATTGTTCATTTCTACAGTCCTAGCTCCTAAAATAGGGATACAACAAGTATTCACTAAACATTTTTTGAGTGAGTTGGCTAGGGTTCTCTAACTAAAAACTCAGTTCTAGGCATCTCCATGTTCTGGGCTGTATTAAGGGTGCATTTGGTTTGACTAAGAAGCCCAGTTGAAAGATAGCAGAACAAGATGCCAGCTAAATAAGGACCCATTAGAAACAGTCTTGTCACAGGTACACAAACTTTGATCAACTGTTCACAATCCAAACTACCCTTCTTATACCCAAAGAAGTCATTTGAGAGACTATTGTGTCTAGATCTCATTTGATAATAAGGCACATTGAAAAGAAAGGAAGAAAAGATTTGTTCATGGTGGTACTCTTTCAAGTCCATGAAGTGTGGAGCTCAGAGGGACAAGGAGTTAAGTCCAGACCTTGGGCTTTAAACTCAGTTCCAAGCCATCACAGGGAAGCACTGCCCCAGGCTAGACTGAGAGACTCAATTTCCTTAGCCAGACTGCTGATTTCCTCTAGCTCTCCTCCTTGGATCTGGCTGAGGCAGAAGGATGGGGGAAATGGACTCCACCCTTAGGCAACAGGGCACAAAAACTAGCCCAGAATTCTGCTTACTGGAGTGGGAACTGGTGGCAATCAGAAAGGAAAAGCCTTTAGAGCCAGGCCACAGTTCACGGATGAAGCCTCCCAAGAGGCACTGGCATTAAACAGTTGCCTGCATGCCAGTGTGGCAGACTCGAGTTTGGCTTTATTGCTGCCAGCCTTGAAGTGGGCAAAGGACTTAATCTTACTCAGACTACATGGCTTTTTCAGACTGAGAGACTCGGGTGTAATGGTGCCCTTGGTGGATCCTAGGCTTTGGCATCAGCTATCTTCAAGTTAGTGTTACCAGACAGATCATCAAGATGTGTCCCATTATGTCCCATTGGGATGGAGTCATATTTTAGCCTGTGCTTCTCCTAGTATGTCACAGACCTGGGTGCACTCAGAATGGGTGAATTTATCAGAAGACATGCAAAGAGAGAAACAAGTCAAAGCTAACTCTGGCCACTGCCAGTCATAGACCTAGCAGACCTTTCAGGAAGTGGCTGCTGAAGGAGGTAGCAAATGAGAATACATTTGTGTAAACAAAGAACCAACCATGTCTCTTTTGTTTTGTTGTAATGCTGGGTAAGGTGAGGACTACAGATCTGCCATGGAATTAGCCATGTGAGGTTAGTGGTGACAATTAGAAGGACAGGGATGGGAGGATGGAAGGCAAACCCAACTCTTGCTGTAAAAGAGCCAAGAAAATGTGATAGAAGAGTGAGGCAGGGTGGGAAATGGAGCTTGCTTGCTTGCTTGTTTGCTTGTCTGCCATGGGAGAAATTAGACTGGTTCCATGCTGATGAGAATGATCTAGAAGGCGGCGGCAAATTGTGGTAAGGAAGAACAAAAGGGAAATTGTATGTGTAAGTGAGTCTTAGGAAGATTCCTCTGCAGTAGACCTCCTGAAACAAAGGGAGCCGGCTCTGCATTTCCTGCACCTGATGTCAGCTGTGCAGGACAGACACACCTTCCTCGTATCAAGAGTTCCGAATTCTTAAAGGATTTCCAACTGTGTTCATTTGCTGCCCATGGCTGGCAGCCATATAGCTAGACAGACACAGGCTCAGATCCTGGCTCTGCCATTTGCTAGCTGTGTTACATCTGGTAAGTGACAACCTCCTAAAGTGTCCACATCCTCGAGTGTAAAGTGGAGGAGAGGTGATGAGAACTGTTAAATAACTACTGTTGCAATGCCATGCCACTGAATCAGAACTTGTAACAGAATGATGTACGAGTAATCACTCAGTCAAAGTCAGCTATGAATACAAAAAAATGATAGTCAGGGTTCAGAGGAAGTGGTATTTTATAAGAATAGCAGTTTAACCCGGGATGGGAGGTGATGGCTCATGTTTGAAACTGGAAAAAGAAGATGAACAGGTGTTTTGAAAAGACAGAGGAGGAAGAGCAGAAGGGAATGTGGAAGTGAAGGTTTGAGATCTTGCAAGCTAGAGGAAAATCACTGGCTGCTTGTCTGGACTAAACCAGAGAGCTCAGAGGCAGATATGGCAAGTCTTGCACCATGGGAGGAAAGGCTTTTACTTAGAAACTGACAATGCTTTATGAGGGTTTAAGTCACTAAGCTGCTGGGCTACTGCCTTAGCAGGTACTTCAGGGACCCTGAAAGAGGAACTGCAGAAAATGTCAGTCTCCTAAAAAAGGCTAGCAGGAAATCCTTTAAGACAGAGTGAAGCTCAAGAGAAATGAGTCCAATCAAGAGACTCCAGGGGACAGAGCTGAAGTCACAGTAAAGGAAATACCTACTTTCCAAGGGGATGTCATTTGTTCAGGTTCAAATCCTCAGAGGATGCCCAGTCCCCCAGTCTTCTTTTTATGTGGATAAACCATGAAGTCACCCTGGTCAAACACTACTTTACTTCTGGTCCCTGGGTACCCAACAAGCATGTGTTGGCCTCCATCTGGCACATGAAGCAGTTTTAAAGTACCACCATCCTCTGCCCCAAGGTACCACAAAGACTCCCAGGTCCCCCGGGTCCATGGCTGGTAGGATCCAGCTAAATCAGTTGAGATACTCTTCCTTTCATAGCTACTGAAAAAGTAATTCTTGTAGACACTTCCTGTTGATTTCACCCTAAAGTTACAGTGACTCAAAGAAAGAAATAACCAAGAGGCTAAAAAAAAAAAAAAAAAAATGTAGCAAACAGACTTAAGGTAGCATTTGATTTCTAATCACTAACAGCCGTTCTCACCGTGCAAAGAGGGTAAAGCAAGAATGAGAACTTAAGGTCACACTGGTGTACACAAAAAGTTTGACTATAATGTCTATGCTATATGAGAGTGCACGACTAAAAACTACAACCCAACTAAAAACAAATAATTAAAAAAAAAGATTTGCTGATCTCAGTGGGCAAGCAAAAATACATATAAAAATAAAAATCTCCTTCATTACTCAGACTCCTGCCCCAAGTTTGAAGCTGTTGGCATGAGCATTTTTTCTAATTCAATGCATCATCAATGATGACGTAAATACAGTGATGGATCAAATGTGAGAATATAAAAGCAAATGGGAAGGGTCTAGGTGTACAGCTATTTAAATTCATGGAAGTGGAAGTGTTATTAAAAACATACAGTAAGAAGTTATGAGAACAGTTCTAACAGAAACAAATTCCAGAAGCCATGAGGGCAGGTAAAGAATATCTAACCAAGCCCTGTGATCACATAATCATCCAGGCAATGTAGGACCCCTTTTATCTCTCATTGCAGGGCTCACCCACATACATCCACAGATTTATCCTCAAGCAGGACCCTATCACCAAGCCATCACTGTATAGCAATTCTGTACTCTTCCCTGCATTACCATCTGAAAAACTATCCATATTCCTTGTGTTCTGACTCTGACTGCTAAAATGAATGTATTTAATGAATGAGTAAAACATATAAGACCAGAGAGTACTCTGATGCTCTGGTGGTTAAATTCAATTTTCAACTTGAGACCTAGAACCACAGGGATAGAGACCTCTGGGCATGACTGTGGGAGATGATTTTGATTAAGTTAGCTGAGGAGGGAAGACCTGACCACTCTGGATGGTGCCATCCTCTAGGTTGGGATCCTGGTCTATATGAAACAGAAAATGCTTGAATGTGGATACAGTGCAAACAGCTACCTCTCCTGTCATTGTCTTTCCTGACATGAGTACTAGACTGTGACTTCAAACTGTGAGCCCAAATTAACCCTTTGTTCCCTGAGTTGATTTCAAGGGAGACTTTCCTTACTGCAATGGGAATTTTATTACAGCAATGGAAATTTTATGACAGTAAGGGGAAACAGAAAAGCTGCTTAAAAGAAGAAACAAACCTAAGGGTTAAAGAAAAACAGGCCATCAACAAGAGATTTAAACAGATATTGCAACAATAAAGCAGTGGTGGCAAATGTGACAATGACAGGATGAACAAAATAAAAAGAAAACATTTTAGACACACTTTGTGAATGCAGTATCACAAAACCTTTTAAAGTTAATGGAGTGGTAAAGAATGCAGCTGAAGAACACTTTGTAAAAGTGTAAGTGGAAGACAATGGGATAGAAAGAAGAAAAATAAGAAATATGGACTTGTGCTAGCATAAAAAAATGACTACCTAGTATGTATTCCCACAAGAGGGAGGAGACAGTCAGGGAAATGGAGATACTGTCTAGGGCCAGAGATTCAGCTCAACAGAAGAGTCCCCGCCCAGCAGAACGATGCCCTGGGGACAGTCTCCTGTCCTTCCAAGCAAATAAAATATGGTCTAGTTGGGTGAACAAGGAGACAATAAAGGTGCATTCTTTTGTCCTGGGTTTTATATTTTTAAAAATAGATTTTATTTTAAAAGCAATTTTAGGGTCACAGCAATGGAGCTGAAGGTACAGACAAGCCATGTGTCCCCTTCTACCTCATGCACACAGTGTCTAATATTACAAGCACTCCTGACTGGAACGTTTGCTGGGACTGAGATGCTGACACAAAGTCTACATACAGTTCATATCAGGCTTTGGTCCTGAAGTCAAACATGTG